TTGTAACACCCCTGCATGGGTTTTTCGTGGCCTTGTATTAAAAAAAAAACTCATCGTTTAATTTCAAAAGTCAGATATATTGTACCTTTTGAGAACATGCCTGCACAGAACCACCTCCGTAGAGACCTTTAGTAATATAATACTTGTGCACAATTAAAAAAAATAAAAGCACCAACTGACATGTTCATCATGCTTTTACGCAGATTGTAACATGAATTTTTTCAATAACCTACCCGTGTATAATGTTTGATATGCAAAAAATATTTCTTAGGATGAAAACGAGTAATACAACTATTTTATTATATATATATATATATATTATATTTAAAAATATTTTTTCATGTACCAAACATTGTTTTTAAGATGTAAGGAGTTTTTGTTCTTATAACATACTTGATCTTGTTTTGCCTTGCATGTTTTCCACGGCCTTATATTCTGAAAAAAAAAATTATATAGATCCATTTGATGTATAAATTTTGAATAACACAGCTTATTGAATTCTATATAATATTTCATGATAAAAAGTCTAATTTATAATTATGGCAAAACACGATCGCGGATCAATTCAATTGTGTTTCCCCAATTGTTAGTACGGAATACGGAGAGGTTAATGCTGGGGACAAGAGTAGCTAGCGATGCAATTTCACATTTTGCCATGTGCAACATATATTGGTCATGTTAAATGAATCACGAAAAGTATATTGCAACATACTCCCTCTATTTTCTGCTCAAAAAAAAAAAAAACATACTCCCTCTATTAATATCCATATATAGCAAATTCATGTTTTTCTTTTTTTGGGCTTCCCTATTTTATATTCTTGGCAAAATTACCATGGTTATAATTTAGACATATACAGGTCATGTTTAATGAATTTGGAAAAAAAATTTAGGTAAGTTAAATTTTATGAATTTATTAAAATTATGACATGCTTACATCAGCTGGCGGTGGGGCCAAGGTTCCAAACCGGAGAGTGCAATTTAATTTAATTTAATAAAATTATAATTATTATTAATTAAAAATAATAATTGCACTAAAACTAAAATTATAATAACACAAAGAGATTTATCATCATTTTTCTTTTTGAAATACTATTGGTTGATATGGTTTTTTTATGTAAACATATTTTTTATATTTTATATAAATTATTAAAATATTATATATTTAATAAGCTTTTGAATCAAATATTTTTTTTACTTAATCATAAAGGTGTAAAATATTAAAAGTTGGGAACTAAACTAAATTTTATTAGTATATACCTCATTTAATTTTATTTATAAGTTACTTCTAACATGTTTTACTAAAATTAAGAAATTAATTTTGTTTTAAAATTTAGATCTCTACCTCTTAATAAAGACAAAAGGAATTATTTTTAATAGGCTTTCCTCACATCTAATATAGGTAAAAAAATAAAAATAAATATAAAAAAAATAAAATACCTTATAAACAAAATCAAAATGGATTGCATATCAATAGGACCACAGGAGTGTAGGTCATGTTTATATTGATACTCAATAACTCACAATAGAAGAAATTACAATTAAGGACAACTAAGCTTTCAATATTTTTCGAATCAAATAGAGGCAGTGACTCATAATTTTTTGTTAAAAAAATCAATAAAAGATCTTGTTTCTTAGTTCCATTCTTTAAGTTTGGAGCCCTTGGATATATCATTATTTTCCTATTGAGGTCCTTCCTTTTCTTTTTCACAAAATATATATAATATTTTTTATAAATCACATTATTTACCAGTGACGAATAAATAACCTTTTTTAGGCTCTGTGAAACACAGGGAAAAATGTATCCATTTTAAAAGTCAAAGGGGAAAAGAACCTAATCAACAGACTTTTTGCTGATAAAAAAAATTGTAAATGTTGGTTCTGAAGTGGGTACCAACGTACGAACTATATAGAATGGGGTTACGAATTTATAACGGAATTAGTATGGGACTTGTGATATTTTCCAAAAATATGTATCTTAATGTTTTGATATTTTTTTCTTGTTCTTCTATAGTTTTTTAATTAATTTTTAAATAGATTAAAAGTTATTTTTACCTATCAACTTTACTTCTAAGAACCCTAACTTAGTTATGAGTTAATTCTATCCCTTAACATTAAAATTTTTTTCATTTATCACTTTGATATTAACAACACTTAACGTCTATTAGTTATCAGTGAGTCTCACTATTTTTTTAATATTTTTATTTAATTAAAAATTATTTTTACCTCTTAACTTTTATTTAAAGAATCAATAGGCATTCTCAACTCAAATATTTTATAATAAAATAATATTAAAAATGTAATATGGGGTCTACCAATGGTAAGAAAATAATAAGATAATAAGAAAGGAAATCTTTAAAGTTGAAGATTAAAATTAATCTATAATTAAATTTAAAATCCTCAATAATCTTTTGAATGAAGTTAAGAGAAAAAAATAATCTTTAACTCTTTTTGAATTTATATTATACCCCTTCTAATTTATAATAATTCATCATTCTTCCTCTTCATTGATAGAACATTTAACAACTGAAGACAAATATAAAAAAATTGAACTATTTTATTTTCAATAATGACATATGAAAATGTCGTTCGTCTAAATATTTAGAGTTTAGAGTCCTCTTTGCCTTTTTAATTTTACCTTAAAAGTTATTGGAGATTTTAAACTCAACTATAAATTATTTTTGTTTTTTAACTTTAAATATTTTCTTCCTCATTGCCTTACCATTTTCTCACTGTTAATAGACCTCACATTACATTTTTAATATTTTTTTATAAAATATTTGAGTTAATGTTATCCACTAACCCTTTGAATAAGAATTGAGAAAAAAAATAACCCTTAATTTAATAAAAATATTTAAAAAATAATAAGACTTGTTAATTACTAATGGACAGTAAGTATTTTCAATGTCAAGACAATGAATGAATAAATCTTTAACGTGAAAGGATAAAATTGACCCATAATTTAAATTTTTTAGTGATTCTTCAAATAAAAATGACCCTTAATTCAAATATTTTTATTATAAAAATATGAAAAATATTTGTATAAAAAAATAAATATACATTATTATTTATTATTTGTAAATATTACCTCCTGTTATAAATTTTATTTTATTCATACATGTTTATGTAATATATTGCAATTTATACTTTGACCCGAAAAATATATATATTGACAATTCGTATTGGAGAAGAATGGAGCCACGTGATCCACCATTTGTTTTAACCTCTTCTTTTCTTTTTCTTTTTCTTTTTCTTTTTCTTTTTTATAGAATAACATTTAAGTCTAAACAAACGAAAAAATGTTGTCCTGTGTTCCCAAAGGAAAAAAAAAATAAAAAAATTAAAAAATTACTTGCAAATATAAGGGCTGCAAATCGGAATCCGTGTACAAATTGAGAGTTAGCTGAGAGATACTATCTCCCGTCTTTATTATAAGGGATATTTTAAAAGGAATGAATAATTCTTTGCCATAAGTCACTTGTAATAAGGCATTGCTTAAGTTTTCTGAAATTATATATTCCTATTTAAAATTATTAATTACACAAATATAATGCAAATATGAGAATTTTTCGTTTAATTAGGGATTTTCAAACATAATTAATGACTTTGATGAATTTGAAAATTAATATTTATAATTTTTTTTTTAAAAAATTGGCAATATCTAAATATCATTAATTCAATTATTTTTTTGTAACTCAATATTCTCTCAGTCCCAATTTATCACACACTTTTAGACCAGATTATGCATATTAAAAGTTTATCAATGGTATATTTAGATTAATATGGATTTGAATTTGAACTAAATTTTTTATTTAAATACCCAAAAATTTACTCCAAATATACTACAAATTATAATTTATTTGTAATTTTAAATTTTTTCTATATCCTAATTATTTAAAATTCTAATTACTTCAAAATACATTGATGATTCTTGTATACTTTCTCATCTCTAGTCAATTAAAAGTTAGAAATAAACCTATCATTTTTTTTATTCATTTAAAATTTTTAAAATTTTTTAAACTACTTAAATAAAAATTTTAAATACATGGCTTTTAAAAGTTAGAAATAAACCTATCATTTTTTTATTCATTTAAAATTTTTAAAATTTTTTAAACTATTTAAATAATTTTACAACCTCCTTATTTTTTTCAAAGCACAAATATAAATTTTCAAATATATCCTTCATATAATATAATTTTATTTGTGAAAAATTAGATAGGAAGGAAAAAATATACTGAAAAAAGAAAAGTAATATTATAACAAGTATAATTGATAAATATTTATTTTTATTAAAATATCTTATATTTTAAAACTGAAATATTTTTAAAAATATCTTATAAATTAATCCATAAGAGTATCATTCATTTTTTTTTCTTTGAAACCAATGATTTAAAAATGAAACCCATTCGAAAGGTCAGACCATCCGTTAGGCCCATTAACAACTTAGTTTTAAACTAAGAAATTGTTTAAAAAATTGGATTAAATTAGATTGCTTTGGATCGATATTTGAACTAAAAACTGAATCTAATTCTTAAAAACTGAATAACTCAAAAAATGACCTTTTTTTTGTTTTTAGAAAATAATTTATTTTTTTAATTATTTAATATTATATTGTATCATATAATTTGTTAAATCATGATAAAATTATAATATTTATTTTTATTTTTTAAGTTAAGTAATAATGTTATATTTATTTTTATATTTAAATTATTATATAAATATATAATTTTTTTAATTTAATTATTATATGATTGATTTAATTATTAATTTAACTCGGTTGAACTTAGCAATTGTGAACCACTAACTTTTTGGATCCAGTCAAATCTTAAAACTATTGTTTTAAAAAATAATAAATTGGCAAGGATACCTCGCTTTCTTAGTTATCGAAAAGATCTACCACTCAGTAACAGGGTCTGGATTCTTGTATGCAAACCATTGCTACAGAGTGCCCCCCTCTGCTATAAATATCGCCACTTTTCTTCTTCCTCTGTCTCTTCTATATGCTTAAGCTCTCATATATTCTATTTCGTCCTCTCTCTCTCTCTCTCTCACTCTCTCTAAATATTATATTCTCGCTTCTTGTGTTTCTTTCACCCTCAAATTGCTTCTCCTTTCACCCATAACACCCTTCTCTCTGACCATTACACAATGTCGGATTACAGAGACGAAGATCCTCGTATCCATGGCATCAGAACTAAGATTCGTGTCGTCCCCAATTTTCCCAAACCTGGTTTGTCCCTTGTTCTTGGTTCCTGTCCTGGTTCTGCATTTCTTTACCAGTCCTCTGTGTAGTGCTTATCAGTTTGTTCTTTCGAATTTTAGTTTCTCTCTCTAGCTCTGTTTTTCTTTTCTTTTGTTTCTTGTTTTTTTTTTAACCCTGTGCTTTGTTTTTCTTTCTGGTTTTCTTGTCAACAAACTTTGCTTGGTTTTATCTGCAATGGCAGGTATTATGTTCCAAGACATCACGACTCTATTGCTCGATCCGAAAGCCTTTAAGGACACTATCGATTTGTTCGTTGAAAGATATAGAGGCAAAAACATCTCTGTTGTTGCAGGTTAAAGAACAAGAACAACTCGATTTATCCTCTGTTGTTTTTTTCATTGTTATTATTGTCGTTATTTTTCCAGGCTGTGGGTAGGTTCAGTCATCACTGTAATTAAACTTGAAGGTTGGTAGGGTCCATGGTTGCCAGAAGAAATATGCAGACACACTCTAAAAACAAACACAAAGTTCAAGTTTTGTGTTGGTGGGTGAATTTTTTTTTTTTTTTTTGGGAGATGCCAGTCAGTAATCGAACTTGTGTCTCTAAGTTTACAAGCGCTGGAGTAAACCAGGAAAGCACTAAGAGAGACAGTAGGCAATGGAAGTGACTGTAGGTTTTGGGTTTGAGATTGATTCTTGGTTTGACTATGAGTTGTGCTTAGTGGGTTGTGTCATTGATTGCTTTCTGAAGTTTATATATTTGCCCCTTCCCAAATCAACTTGTGGAAAGTGGACCCCACCTCTCTCTCTCTCTCTCTATATATGTGTCTCTCTCTGTGCGCAAGTTTCAAATGGACCAGTTTTATTTGGCTCCATTATATTATGTGTCCCACATTTCACTGTTGAGGTGACTTCATCTACAGTGCCTCATTTATTTCCAGTTCTTGGGTTGATTCCCTTTTTTTCTTCTCTCTTTCTTGTTCTGATCTTACTCTTCAAATTCAAATCTTTTCTCTTCTTGCATTAGACTTAGAACATGTCTGGGTTTGAATCTGACATTGACGTGTTTGCATGCACGTGTCTCTCTTTCTTTGATAAAATTTTTTTTTTAAAAAAAGTCTCTCTTCTTGCTTGCAGCGTCCAATAACTTCCTTCCATTTTGATGGTTTTTGAAACGTTTCAGATGATATGTTACATCTTTCTATGTGCCTTTTGGGGATTTCTGATTTATGCGTACCTTATTAATTAATTACTAGCTGTTACCTGTTGGTATTTTTTGGTGATTACATTATAGCTAATAATTCAAGTTAAATTTGATGAGTCAACTCTAACCAGTTCAAAAAAAGTTATGACTAAACTTAGTTGTATGAATTTTGTTAAGAGAGCATGATGTTTTAAGAGGGACCTAAATATGTTCAATAGTTGAAATTTTTAGCTCTATATATATATATATGTAGAGTAAATAATTTTAGCTAAATCCAACGGATCAAGTCAAACCTAATCAAAAAAAAAAAGTTAGGACCAACTTGATTATATAAACTATTTTATAAGAGTAAAATACTTTAAATCTGATCCAAATAAATTCGGCTCAAATTGATCTCACATCGCTCGAATTACCAGCTTTAGATTGGATGCTGATTTGGCTGAAGTTTATTGCACTTGCTTCTTAATAAACACAATTTCATGATTAATATTCCATGTCTAGGCATGTAAGTTTTAGTTCAAGTATTTATATAAAGCAGTTTCAGTTTGCTTTTCAAAAGCAATCAGAACTTGGTTTTTGTATGAATTCTAATCTCAGACATGTTTATTATTTTCAAATTTACTTCATGCAATTTGTGGGGTCCAAGATGAGAAGGACATTTAAAGGAATATAATGTTTTGTTATTTTTGAGGGTGTCATGTGTAGTGTTCGTTATCTATTTATATATATAAAAAAATGTATACTATTTATGAGTAAACAATAATATAACTCACATGAGATTCTATACAAAGTATGTTATGTTTTAGTCTGTAATAAATGTTAACAGGGTCACAAAATTTTGGCAGGAATAGAAGCTCGAGGATTTATATTTGGTCCTCCCATTGCTCTGGCAATAGGAGCCAAGTTTGTTCCCATGAGGAAACCCAAGAAGTTGCCTGGTACGTTATATATATAAATACACACGCAGAGAAAGATTTGTTGTTGATAAATTACAATGATATGGAACAATTCATATAATGGACTCTATTTAATAAGATAAGACTTCTTGTTATGATATGTGTTGGAGTAAAAGTATGGTGGTGGGATGGCAGGGAAAGTGATATCTCAAGATTATACATTAGAGTATGGAAGAGATCGTATGGAGATGCACGTCGGAGCTGTGGAGGTCGGCGAACGAGCTCTGGTGGTTGATGATTTGATTGCCACCGGTGGAACTCTCTGTGCCGCCATGGATTTGCTAGGTAAGTCCCATTCTCACATTCGGATTTCATTGAAGAGATAGTAAGAGTCCATCCCGATCGTCTGTTTGTGACCCGACCGGGGCCGGTCCACTGACAAATCGTCGGCTGAATGTGTTAAAGAAGTGTTAGTGGTTGTTGTGCAGAACGTGTGGGAGCTGAAGTGGTTGAATGTGCATGCGTGATTGAACTACCAGAATTGAAGGTACATTAAGTTATGTATGATATGTTTTGGTGGATTAATATTGATGGACTTGATTAATTAGTTAGTTAGTTAATTAATTAATGAGGTTAATTTTGTGCAGGGTCGTGAGAGATTGAATGGGAAGCCTTTGTATGTGTTGCTGGAGTATTATCCTGAAGCATGAGGAATCTTTGAGAGAGAATTAATTAAAGTCGTTTTTTTTTTTAATTCTGGATTATTCCATAATTAATTAAATTAAAATGCGTGGTTGTATATTAATCAGCCTGCCTGGTTGAGGGCTTGAGGCCTATGGTTTGTAGTACCAAAATCCAATTATTTTAAGAACAATCCTTTTGGGCTTTATCTTATGGTTCCTCTCTCTGTCCATATTTGCAAGCCCAAATCTTATAGTGTAGCTTCTTCCTTCCTTTTTTTTTTTTTTCTTTTTGTGTCCTCTGTTTTTTTAAGTTGAAAAAATCCGAATATTGTTGAGACCAAATGAGAGGATTTGTCATTGTAACCTTTTCATTCACAATATTCGAATGCATGATCTTGTTTAAGGGATTTACTTATCCCAAACATGACTTGGAAAAATGATGTATGAATCTTTATTCCTCAATCAAACATTTTTTTTTAGAAACAGATTTATAATAACAACCTTAGTCTCATCCAAATGGAACAATACCGAAAAGGTTATGAATACCTTCCTTATAAATAGTATATAGGTAGGGCTAGTAATTCAATTTAAATAAGTTTGAAGATATTTTAAGACTAAATTTAGTAAACTAGCAAAATTTTAAAAGTTCTCAAAAAAAAAAGGGGGGGTGCTAAACCCCATCAGGTAATATCTTGGCCCAAATAACAATTACTTTTTTAAAAAATATAATAGAGATATTAAATATTAATTGATTATTTAATTTTTCATTCATTTTATACTGAAAAATCATATGTTTGGAAATATTATTATAAATATTTTCTAAAAAAATTAAAATAATAATATTGTTATATTTTTATTATATTTAATCTATAGAATATCTTAAAATAACATTTAAATTGTATTTTAATCTTATTTTTAAATTTTAAAACCTAAAAATTTTTTAAAAAATATGAAACTTCTATGTCTTTAAGTATCCCGAAAAGTATATGAGCTTTTAAAAAGTTTAGACTTATTTGTGCCAATCAAAATTACTAGTTCTAAATATAAGTGAGAATAGAGTTGTAGAGGTTAAAACGTAGAAAATGAAAAGAAATGATTTTCATATCTAAAATTTAAATAACAAAATGACAAGGTTTGGAAGACAAGTATGTATGTATTTATTTTTTTAGTGTAAAAAAATTTGAATGAGTTGGATTCTGAAACTTATTAGGATCAAATCATGTCTCCAAACTTAAATTATTTATAAAAATATTTATAAATTATCCACTAATAAGGTTCTTGCATTGATAGCAAGATTTAATCTCACCACTTTATAAATTATAAATTAAATTTTTATCAATTGATGTAAATTTTTTTTTTTGGGCCTAACTTGTAATAGATTATAAGTCTAACTTTTGTTGATAATATATGTATATATGTATGTGAGGCTGAGACATAACAGAAATGCCATACTGGCTTGGTATGAGCAACCTAGGACAACGTGAAAGTCCTGAACAGGTGATAGCTTAATAAGATTGGGCCAAGAAACAAAAGGATTTGGCAGACGACACGAAAGTCCCTGAAAAGTAATAACTCAATAAGATTGGGCAAGATAAAAAAAAAAAAAAAAAAGAAAAAAAACAGAGAGAGATTTGGCAAACCATGTGGCCGCTGGCAGGTGGGAAGGAGGAGACACGTTTGCATTCGGTGATGAGCACCAAATGCTGATAAGGATAAGAAACAATCCTGATCTTTCATTTTCAACCTAAATTAATCCCTACCATTCATTTAAATTAATTTTTAAATATTTTTAATATTATATTTATTAACATAAAAATATAAAAAGTTTTAATATTAAATATGAATTATTTAAAGTATATTTAAATAGTTAATTTATAAAATTTATAAATTTTTAATATTAAATTAGTCATTTCAATTATATTTAAACTGTTTAAAGTTTATTTAAATTGAAAAATTATAAAAAAATTTAACATTAAATTGGACCATTAAATTAAATATGTACTGATTAGATCCGTAATGAATAGATTTATTAAAATTTTAAATTTTTTTACAGTTTTTATATTAATAAATAATAATATTAAAAATATTTAAAAATTAATTTAAATGAATGGTAGGAATTAATTTAAACTAAAATGCACAGCCAGAATTGCTTCTAGCTCTGATGAGCATGGTGATGAGCACGGAATATAAATCCAAGAGAAGATGAAGCCATTAGCTTCCTGTGAAAAAATTGAGCACCCTTGTTAAACTTATCAACTCCAATTTATATAAATGAAAAATATTTAAAATTTATTAATTTTTTTTCAAAACTTTAATAAATTGTTCATTCTGTCTCTATTAAATAAATAAATAAATATATATATATATATAATTAAAAATTTTACTTCTATTTAATACACATATTTTTAATGATATATTTAGAAAATATTGTCATAAAGTTGCTCCCTATAAGGGAAATTATTTTGAGAAACCAATATTAATTTACAGACCAAATACAAGCTTAACGAGTGACTATGGACACCAAGTTTATGTCTTTGCACGCCTATAATCTTACAAACCAAGACCAAACTCTAGGAGCCTATATGTTTATTATTCTTAAAAATTAATTTTTTACTTTAATATTTTTAAAACAAAAACTTGCTTGGATAATGGTTTTATAATTTTTGTTTTAAAAACTATTTTTATTTTTTTAAATACAAAAAAACCAAAATAAGTTTTAGCTGTTTTTGTTCCTTCGTTCCCAATATTTTTATCATACCGAACAACTCATCTCATTTGAGTCATTTTTTTCTATCAAATTTGCCTCTAGTGCAGGGGAGTTCATCTTCTTGCTAGTGTTGCTGCCTTCCTTCTCGTTGGCATTGCCTTAGACAGTTTGCTCTCCTTTCAACAAGTTTGTTACCCCAAGCCTATGATCTTGTATCCCAAACATATATAAGGTAATCCTTTCAACAAATCCTCACCTTGTACCCCTAACTTATCTTCTTGTACTCCAAACTATGATCTTGTATTTTAAGGCTCAAGCTTTATGACCTTACACACCAAACCATAGAAGTGCAAATTTCATAAAAATACAATCTATCATCATCAAAGTGATGGTCTAAAAGAAAATAATAACATAAATAATAAATTGTTCATATCATAAGCGACATTTTGAAAGGCTAATTATAATGTGTCAAGTTATAGGTTTAAGATGCAAGGTCATATAAAAAGTGATAAGAGATTTTCTAAAACCTTTTTGTGTCCTAAATATAAAAAGTTGTTAACATATTTTTAATGAATAGATTATTATACTCTTATTAAATTGAGATGAGAAAAAGATAAACACTCTCATTAATTTATTTTGAAAAAAGATATTTACTTTTTATTTATAATAATTAAGAACAAAATTAAAATATTGTTATGTTTTTAACTAGATAATCAACTTTTATTGATTTACTTAATTCCATTAAAAACATTTTATGTATAGATACAGAAGGAGTATCCCACACGTAAAAAAAAAAAGAAATAAAATAGGCACACATGACATGTTAATTAAAAACATCTTATATATACATATTGCTAATTGTGAACCAATACAAACATGTTAATTAAGCAAGATAAAAAGAAATTTCCAATTAGCATTTATCATCCAAAATTTCTCACAGTAATAGCCAAACCAAAAAAGAAAAAATAATCGTGTTGATGACATTTAAAATCCATGCAAAAAGAGGTTCAAGACCTCCACCACATACATACAACTCCATTGTTTTTTTGCCCCCCTCAAACGAAAAACATCAAAATAGGAAGGTAAGGGTAAGAAATTTAGAAACGGTAAATATTTCTTTCCTTTTTTACAATTTATAGATAATAAGAAAACAGGGCAAAACGGCACGCGAATCAAATACTAACATCTCGCCCTTCTCCCCACTCACTGAGTCGTACCCGACTCGCCCATCCAACAGCGAGTCCATGAACCCTACTTGCTTCGACACCCGACCCGATATGACCCGGCACACCAGCATCGCTTTCCGTCCCCTCCCTCCGCCTGCGTTCTCATGGGCCCCGCCGCTGCCGGCGAATGTGCAGATTGCCGTTCCTTTTCCGCCGGGAAACGACCACCCACAACCTCCTCCGCCGCCTCCTCCCGTAACGTAGGGTCCACCGCCCGAAGCCGGACCCAAGCAATGAAACCGCATCATCTCATTCCCGTCCGCCACGCACCGCGCATTCTCCTCCTCCCAATTACTCCCTTCCGCCGGACCGCCGGAGCCGGCTCGAGCCTTCGCTTTCACCGCCTCGCGATACTCCTCGAACCGCGCCACCGTTTTGGATCCATTCTGAACCTTGAAAATCATCTCCATCCGACCCGAAAATGCCTTCGAACCCCAACTACTATGGAAGATAATCTCAACCACATTCCTCGATGGATGTCCCACAGGAAGCTCCTTCAGGGATGGGAAAAACGATTCCGGCGCACGCGCAGGGCGCGTGGAAGTGCTACTACGTGACCGATTTACAAGGGTAGGATTAACGGGAGACTCAGGCTTCGTTGCTCGCTGTGGGTATCTCGAACTGGGATGCTTCTCAAGGTGGTGTTTGGGTTTGGGAATATTTCTGCGTTTAGGCTTAGAAGTGTTATCAATGACGACGTCTTTGATACTCTGAACACTCTGTCTGCAACCAGAACTTGGTATGAGGATTCTGGGGCTTGGGTGGAAAACGTCTTCAAAGGCTCTCGATTTACAGTGCAACGACTTAACCCATCCGCTCGCCATAAGAAAACGGAGCTCAGCGACGGAGCAAAAAAGCGCGAAAGCCAAACACAGCCGTAGTCTCTCTCTCTCTCTCTAAAGATTTCGGAGGGAAGAAGAAGCTGCGTTTTGTTGGTCCAGAGGTCTAACAGAAAAGGAAAGCTGTGGGTGTGGTGGTGAGAGCGGACAAGAACATGAATGGCGATAATAAATGGATTTTACCGCTTTTAGGATATGAAATTACTGTAATGCCCTTGTGATGACTTTGGGGTTAAAGTCTCCTTGTCTTCTTCGCTTGGGTTGGACTGATAAAAACAAATTCCATTGATTAGGGAAAACAAAAGGTTATGATTCCTCAGTTTCATGTCCAGTGTGCTAGTCCGAATACTGTGTTTCGCGGTTACAGATTTGTCTCATTTACCACATTGTAACGTTAATTTTCATTTAATTCATTCTGAGTGAAAGAAAATTACGTTTCTATTCCTGTACCTCACAAATTATGCTACCTTAGCCATATCAAGTTGTTTGAATCAGTGTATTGCTCGATGGCCCAAAAAAAAAAAAAAGAATAAGTGTATTGTTCAGTTTGTTGAATTAAAATTTTTTATTTATAATTAGTCTGACTATAGTTTTAACCATGATATTAACAATGTCTGGAATCCTTTAGTTATCAGAAATATTTTTACTACCTTGCTATTAACAAAAAGAATTTTAAGTTAATTAAGAAGCATTCTTCTATTCTTATTACAAGATACTTTCTAAAAGAAATTGATAATTCTTAATAAAAGATATTTAATATAATATTAATTATAATTTTTTAATATTATTCCATTTAAATTTATTAACTCTAAGCGATAAGGTAATACACATTTAAAATTTTTTATTTAAATATAGAATTGTAAACTTATTCTTTTTTGACAAAACCAATGATCAATTGTATCTTTTAAGTTCTGATAAAATAATTAGATGTGCTTAATAATAATAATAAAGGATTAAAGGAAATATTTCTTTAATTTATTAGGACTCGATTATGTGGAGTGGGAAGTCCAAAATAAATCTTTTTTTTTTATTTTTACGTTTTCTTGGGGTTTTTTTAGATTAGTTGATTGAGGCGAGCTGGTAATTATTAGAGAGTGCAGTTAATTTTGTCATAAAAGCGTTACACTTGCCATCTAACTATTTAATGGTGGATGAAATTACTCTATTTGCTGCTTGAAATTAAAGCAACCGCTAATAATAATTTCCACGTTGCATCTTCTGGTTGAAGATTCAATGGAATAATAAGTATTTTTTCTATCTCAAATTATAAATGTTTTAAAATAAAATTTATATATCAATAAATTTCATTCCATATACTTAATAATTTTATCTTTTCAAAATAAAAATATAAAATTTTAAAAATATTCATCATTTTAATACATTAAAGAGAGAAATGATGAAAATTAATTATAGAAAGAAAAAAGATAATATTAAAATTAATGTATTTAATAAAATATTAAAATTAATTATATTTTGGAATGATTTTTTTTTAAAATGTCATATAATTTGGGCCAAAGCTAGTAATTACTAGTAAAAATTTAATAACACACACGATCTGTTTTGCCTATTTTCTCAACCGCACAACAACTAACCGTCTCAAAAAAGGCTTGGGGTCAACGAGTTTGACCCTTCGTCAAAACAAAAATTATTGTTAATACAGTTATGATGTGAATGTGATGGAGTAATAATTTATAATTTAGGCCCTTCACAAGGCATATTTAGTGGGGGCAAAATCATGGTCATGATTTTAAGTGATATTAATTATTTTCTTTTCATCTAACTCTTTCACAATTTTTTATAGATATAATATTTCTTATATCTTAAATTATAAGATATTTTTAGATAAAATTTACATACCAATAAACCTCACTAAATACATTTAATAACCTTATCTTTTCAAGACAAAAATATAAACTTTCAAAAATATCAATCATTTAATAAATTAAAAAAGAAGGATGAAAATTAATTATAGAGAGAAAGATAATATTAAAATTATGCATTTAATGAAACCTTAATCCACCCAATGTCTTATATTTTAGAATAAAGAAACTCCTTTAAAAATGTCCTATAATTTGAGACAGAGGAAGTAAAAATTTATATTAAAAAAATATTTCTAAAAGTTATACTCCCTCCTTTCAAAAATATAAGATATTTTTTAAAAGTTGAATATTAAAAAATATAATACATTTTTAATCTTTCGAGGTGTAATTATTATCTTTTTTAAAAAATGTCCCTATTGATAATGACTTTATATTTATTGTAAGGTATTTAATAGAGGTAAATATAAAAATATAGGGTTAGTTGAAAAGTAAGTAACTACTTTATTGAATGTGAGATTTGATTAAAAATGTTTTATATTTTTTAACGAAGGAGTAGTAAATTGAGAAATTTGTTTTTTTAGACTAATTTAAATTTAATTATTTCTCTTTGATTGTGGTATACTCTTTCTAATAATATTTATAAATCATTTCTAATATTTTTATTGTAATTGATAAAAGCCTTAAACTTTAATAACTTTATCTAAAAAATTAATAATTTTTTAACTTTATTTCAATTAAATATATATATATATACCTTAAAAATAAAATATTTTAGCATTTAATAACCTACCTAATATTTAATATGAGCAAAAGGATAAAGATGGACATAATAATTTTGAGGTATTTTACAAATAAGATCAAAATAAAGCTTTTTTTTATATTATAAATAAGACCAAAAAGTAGAAGTTAGATGTGACTTGTTTGTATATATATTACTCCTTTGGTCCTAGTTCAACAGATACTTTTAAAGGAAATTAGACATCAAAAAATATAAAAACACTTTGATATAAATAAGATTTCATTAATGATATTTTTTAATATTACCTTTTCCATTATATTCTCTCACTCTAATAATTTTTTTTTACTATGGAGTATTAAATGAACATTTTTGAAAGGTTTATACTTTTATTTTGAAAAAATAAGTTTGTAAAGTATTCTCCTTTGGTTATATTTATAGAGCAAAGAGAAAATATTTGTTTAGGTTCTATATAAAAGGCATCTCAATGATTATTACATGTATTTTTATCATTTTATCCCTATTAAATATTAAGAAAGTTATTAAATATTAGAATATTTTATTTTTAAAGTGTGTAGATTTAATAGGGGTAAAGTTCAAAATTTAATAATTTTTTAGACAAAGTTAATGAAGTTTAAAAATTGTCTTAGTTTTGATAAAAAAATGCTGAAAATAATTTATCAATAAGACTAGAGAAAATATTTAATAAGTTTTATCAATATACTTAGTATGCATGATTTTATTTAAAAATATCTTATAAATTGAGACAGTATTCATATTATAAATCATTTTTAAATTTTAATCTCCTCATCGGAATCAAGGAAGTGTGATTAACTTATTAAATCTAACTTAAAATTAAAATATAATTCCCAATTTTCCTCTATAAGAGAGCATAAATTTTAAAATAAAAGAAATTTAGAATATGCTACATTCTCTCTCACGGGAAATGAAGTGGTGGGAAAAAAACATAACATTCAAGCAGTCATGTGAAAAAAAATTAAAATATAATTAAATTTTCTTTTTATTAATTTATAAGAGAGATAAAATTGAAAATATTAGTTAATTATTTCCTTTATTAAAAAATATAAAATATTTTTAATTAAATCTTACTTTAATGAAGTAGTTATTGTCTTTAAAGTAACATAATCTTATATATATATATATATATATTCCTGTTTAATACTCCCTCCATTAAAAAATATAAAGTATCTTTAGTCAAATCACTCCAATAAAGTAGTTATTTATTTTTAAATTAACTCTATCTTTTTATATTTATTACTATTTAATAGGATCACCATAAAATAAATATAAAATAATTTATTCAATAGAAAACTTTTGAAAAAAAGTAATAATTATATTTTGAAAGTTTAAAAAGTATGAGTAAGATGTTTCACTTTAAAATAAATATAAATTAATTTATTTATTAGAGATATTTTTGTGAAAAAATAATTATTACACTTTAAAATATTAAAAATCTATTTTTTATTTTTAAATAGAGAGAGTAATAAAAATTCTTTTAAAAGGGCACTCTGAAATAGAGACAAAGAAAGTATCATAGAAGGACTACTTAAGGATATTTTTAAAAGAAAATGGAGGGTGAGGTGGGTATTTCACAGAACAAGAGGAGAAGTGAGAAGGTGGGAGGAATCTGTCATGGAAGTTTGAAGAAGTGAGGGAATGGAAAAGGAATAGAAAGTGGCAGGGATATAAATTAAAAGAAATATTATTAAATAGCACTAGAACCACAAAGTGAAACACGTAATTCAAACGACAACATGTCTTGCCTTCTACTTGCTGATATATGGAGTCATATATTACTATATTCGTAATTGTAATATTTTATTATGCCACTACCTGGAGCAGCAGAGCAGACAATTACATTGAGATAATAAAAGAATTATTTCAATGATACTTCCTCCTTCCTTTAATATTATATTGAAGAACATACAAATCAATAAAGTATCAAAATGTTTAACACAACACGTATTAATTATACAACATAAAGCTTACCTTTGAATTGGATTCAATTGAATTGAATTACAATTTTGTGTCACTAATGACAATGAAAATAAATACAAAACCAGGAAATTAAACCAAGGATGGGAACCAATAACGACAATGAATTGAATTAAATTGATACAGCAACTAATAACTTATTGGTAAAATGTAGTGTCCTTTGCCTATTCATACCATTTTTTGGACTTGATCACTTCACATCCTAACGAGTGGCGCCGGGACTCAAATTCTGCTCGAGATTGGTATGAAAAATAAGATATTAGAAAGCTTGTATTGTGCACAAGTATGAAGTTTAAAAAATGAGACTAGTCTTGGTTAAAGCCACAAGAACACGTGTGTGCACCAAACTATTTGATACTTGAAAATTGGTTGGCCTTGATTACAATGTTCTCCTCTCGTCTTTTATACATTTTTTAAAAATAATACTGTATTTTTTTAATTAATTTCATAATATATCATATTACTCTATTAATAACACATCTAAATTTAATTTATCCTTTGCGTTGTTTGTTATCCCTAATAAGAAATTTTGACACCAAATTTGCAGAAATTCCAA